AGATTTAATCGCTTTATTATCAAGAGAATCAAAAAAAAGAAAATGTCCACTAATTGAGTGCAAATAAGATATATTTTAGATAATATTTTTTTTTTTAATTTCTATTTAACTTACCAAACTTGTACACGAGCTTCACTTAAATCAAGTCTCATAGCAAGTTCTTCACGTGTAAATACATCAGGATATTGTGTTTTTTCAAAAGAACGTTCTAATTGATGTAATTGATATGTTGAAAATGTTGTTCGACTACGTCGTACTTTTCTTGGTCGTTCATCTGAACTATGTTGTTCACCTGATGAATCACGTTCTTCATCATTACTTGATAATTTATTATTATTACAATTTTCATTGTTATTTATTGATGATGGAAGTGGTACAACAGATGATGGTGATAAAATTTCCGGTGCTAAATTAAAATGTCTTGATATACATATTACATATTTGATTGATTTCTTTTTCGTTTTCTGATCTCATACTCTTTCCTTCGTTTTCCTATTGTTTAATGAGGCAATTGACGAACAAATTAACAACACATTCTCTCTTTTCTTTTCTTTTCTCCGAACAATAAAAATAGATTCCCAATTCAATTGTATCGATTAAGTCCCATACTACTTATATATGTGTCGAGTGGTTATGTATGTGTATATATAGAGAAAATATAGAAGAAAAGTTGAAGTGATCAATTAAAATGACAAGAACATGAACGAAATGAAGATAATTAAAGATAGTTGAAATGAATAGGATATTGACTATATATATATATAGATATATATATGTGTTTTTTGTTTACCTTCAATTGTTTGTCGTTTATGTAATTGATGTTCATTATCTTCATTCAGATCAGATATTTTTCGTTTCAAATTATTCGTTGTTGTTGTTGTTGATGATGATGATGAAGATGAATTATTTTCAAGTATACAAGCTATTGTAAAACCTCGCATTGTATAATAAATAGTCGATGTGTTTTTTTTTCTCTCGTTTATTCAATTATTAAATATAGTGAATGATTTGATCGCGAGTGCACACCGAGAAAGAAAACGTTATATATGTTCGTCAGTGAAGTAGTAACGATGATAATTATATTCGCTTTCTCTGTCTCTCTTCCTTTCTCTCTCTCTCTCTCTCTCTCTCTCTCTCTGTTTCCTTTTTTCTTCTGTCGAGGGAAGGATAGAGAAAAAAAATTTGAGTGCGTCGAGCTATTCCATTGGCGCATGCAAAGAGTAGGACGGACCGTAGGTTGTAATCAACAAACCAATATAATCATTTCACGCGTGTATATTGTACATGAAAAAAGTAAACGAAGAAAAAAAAAAAAGAAGAAACCTTACTTGGAGGTTTCTTTTTTCTTCATCGCTGCAAGCATCCGTATGTATTTGTTTCGGTGTCTGGCTGACGACATTCTAATTTGTCTAAAATGATGGCTATATTGAATAATATATGAATTAAAGGACGACGTTTCGCTGCTGTTGATTCTTTCATCCAAACATTGCAAAAAAAAAATTGAATGAGAAATTATAAAATGAATCTTATATCAGAAGTTACTTCAAGTTTAAATTAATAAAAATTTTAATTTGATTATTGATAATTAAAAAACAAAGTTTCGTTTTCTATATATATGTATATATATATTTGTTTCATATTTTATAATTAAGTCTAGAAAATATTTCTTTTTTTGTTGTTTGTTTTATAAGTGTCTCTACAACTAAAGACAAAAAAAAAAATATTTAATCAATAATAATACAACAAAACATTGCTCGAGTTGAAAGTCGATATTGATATTTAGTTCATTCGTAATTTTCTCTGACATGTTAAATAACAATCCTGGAAATAAACAAAAGACTAACTAAAATCTAAAAATATTCTAAAACAAAATAAACAGAAACTCAGAATTATCTTCATTATTCATCCGAATGACCTTAAAATTGATAATAATACATCTAAATCAGATAGCTCAATTATGAACTCCTACGTCTCATTATTATCTCTATCGTCTTTTATTAAAGATAATAAGAAGTAAAAATTAAATTTTTTCCAATTTTTTTAATTCTTAAATTAAGTAATTTTCAAACGGCAAAACAAAAATAAGCCTATAAGTTTTTTTTCTTCTTATAATTGAAAAAGTAGTTCTTTTTTTTTCCTACTTTTCATCTATTATTATACTCAATTTAACACTTGCGTTTTTTTTTCTTTCTTTTTTCATCATAACAATCAATCTAACATTAATGTAAAAAGTTTATTATTTTATAAACAAATTTCTCATAATCGAGAACTTAAATAAAAAAATAGTGAATTGTTTTTATAATTACAATTGATGTATTAAAAGCTTGTTGAAATGAAATATGATGATCAAAAAGAAAGCTTGCGGGGTAGTTATATTTGAATGACATCAATTGAAGAAAAAAAAAGAGAATAAAAGATTGACTGACGTCATTTAATATTTATCGACTTTTCTCTCCTGTTGTGTATGTGTATATATCATGTTAGAACAATTTAATTGATCAATAATAACAAGAAAACTGTCCTTAATACTTGTCAATACGCGTGTCGTTAATTGAACACTTCATTTCCTGCGAAATTAAACACAACTCTTTTTTCTTTTTTGTCTCTACTGTCTCATATCACTTGTCATGGCCGAAGCCCTCAAGCACAATTAAATTTATATATTGTTACTTGTCTATTCCATATTCACACCATTCTAAATATGTATATTAAATTGATGAAGAGAGAGAGAGAGAGAGAGAAAGAGCGATAAATAATCATCATTTGATTTTTCTTTTTTAATATGGAAAATAAGAAAAGAATTTATGACAAAATGTTTACAAATATTAAATGTAAACAACTGATTTTAATAATTTATATTCATAACAAAATTTCGACATGTCCTATGATTGATTCTAATTTTGAAAATAATATTTAATGAAAATCTGATTGGATACATTATGATGAAATGATATGTTGAATTTGAATCTTATGAAATGAAAAGTACATTGCTGCCGAGAATAGAGCCTATCGGGTCCAAGAATTTTTGGACTTGGATCCGATAGGCTCTAGCTGAGGAAAATTCTTTAATCGATAAATCGTTGTCGATTTGAAACTATATGTATTATGTAGAATCAAATGAGCTATGAATATTCTGAAAATAGTTCGTACATTTAAGCTTATTGCTACTGAGATACTGTACTTTTATGGTATTTTTTAGTTCTTCTAAGAATCATCAGAAAAATTGATTTTCAATTTTCGAACTGAAAGTTTGTATCACGGCAGTCATTTAAAAAATGCAATATCTGCGCAGCAATAAGTTAACGACACAAACTCTTTTCCAAGACATTCATAGCTCATTTGGATCTACATAACGTACATAATCTCGATTTGAAAGAGATTTATTAGTTGAAGGAATTTCGTTGTAAGTTTATGAAAGAAATTCTTCAACTGTTGAACATTATTTGAATTCATATGTAACAGGAGTTGATGAGACTAAAAATATGTGGCTTGCCTGGACGAATATTTGATTGTCTCATAGTCCGAAAGAATGGATTTATTTTATGATTTTGTAAACTTTTCTTCCTTCTATTTATTCAAAAAACATCGATTGATATCGAGAGTGTTGTAATTATTACTGGAAATAAGCAAAAAAAGTTCATTTTTTTTTGTCGATGAAATAATCAGATCTTCATTCAAGTAATTCATGGATCGGAATTCTTTGAATTCTACTTGTAGTCAAAACATGAAATCAAACGATATTCAACAATTAACAATGTTGTCTCGTTAGATAATATTGACGTTAGTATTTACAAAAAAAAGAATATTTTAAAGTTCGAAAACTTTTTTAAAACATACATTCTATCGACGTAGAATCTTTGAAAGATTTATTTTACTAATGTCGAAATATATGTTGTTATAATAGTTCTGATGTTTGAAATTACATACTAGCATGAAAAATACAAACATAAATAGTTGATTAGTGAAACGAAAATGACATTATCAGCCAATTGGTAGAGTATAGTGAAGGTGTAGGTGTAGGTGTTGGCGTGATTCGATGTGTTCTCTTCATTCTCATCTACCTACACTCATACTCATACATACATGTACACTCCTGAGAGAAATAGGAATGGATGGAAAAAGGCAGAAAGGAAAAATGTCGAAAGGAAAAAACATCGAAAATAAAAATGTCGAAAACAAGAATATGAGTCGAAGATGAACATGTAAGATTGAAGATGAGGCTGAGGAAGATTTGTACTTCAATATAATCTCGTTTTCAGCATTTCTATCCATCTACATTTGTGTTATTTTCGTTTTCGATATTTTTATTTTCGACATTTTTCCCTTTCGATATTTTTCCTTTCTGCCTTTTTCCATCATACCAGAAATAGATATGAAACATATGTATGATTCAAGTTAATTTGTTCGTTAAGGTTCTTCTCGTTTTTCATCATTGCTCTTCATAAAAAATATATTTTTTTTCTGATGAATATAAATTGTATAAAGGAAATAAATATATTGAATCTGCTATCATCAACTGAATAATAATTTATATTAATTTTGACATCTGAATAAGTCAACATTTCTTTTTTTCTTTCGACCAAAGTCGGATTTATAATTTGAAATGTGTCTAGACTTGAGAATTATCAGGCAAGGATAAAAAGTAATTCGAATGATAATCATTAGGGATTAACTATCTTTGATTTTTCTGATATTTTTCTTAGCGATATTATTTAATAGAAGTAGAAATTATTTGAATTTGAAATATTTTAACTTTGAAAGTATGTTAAACTTTTATGTTTGTTAATACAAATTGAATTTTTAATAAATCTATTGGAGAAAATGAAACATTAAATATGTCTCGAATGAAAAGAATTTTCTAAGAATATCAGATCCATTTATTTAGTCAAATTCTTAAGCTATTCTATCAATTTATTATAGAGAAGGACTAAACTCGAATTCAAAATATTCGTTTCATTTTGTGTTTTATTTTAGATATATTTTATATTTGTCTGTCGTAGTTAAGTACGTCGTTGTGTAAAAGGTATTATTCGATTCCTATTTGTTTGTATTATAGTAGATGAATTATTATAATTTCGTGTTATAAATCGACTTGATAATGTAGTTTGCCAAGGGGAAATAGTTGTAGATGGTCTGAATGGTAAAAATTGAAACATACTCGGAGTCGTTTTTTGAAAAGAAGTTTTAGTTGTAAAACCCGATTTAATTGATGATTGTTGTCGATGGTTAGTTGTTAGTTTTATTGAAGTTAGAATATATGACGGTGATTGAGTAGTTTCTTCAATGTAATTAGATGTTTGAATTTCATTAAAAAAAACTGAAGATGTTTCTTGTGTTTGAAATGTATTTATATCTGTTATTGTTGATAAATCATTCATAGTAGAACTCATTGATTCTTCTACATAATCTATGAAATTAGTAGTTTCAATTAGATGAATTGTTGATGTTGAATCAATAAGTTTTTTAAATGGAATTGTTGATATAATAGAATTAATATTAATATATTTTGTTGTAGCAATTGATGAATTTAATTTTAATGGTAATAAAATATTTTTCATTGTTGAAGAAATATATTTAAGATTACTATTGTCTATTGAAAGACTTGAATTAATTTTTTGTTCGTACGAAATATTTAATCGTATTGGTACAACTATTTTAAAATATAAAAATAAAAATGATTTTAAAAATGTAATGATGAAAAAGAAAATGATAATGTTTTTTTTTCTTTACTAAAACGATATATATTTAATGTTGAACAAATTTGTATAGATATATGAAGATTATTTAATAATAAATAAAATGATTGTTGAAAAGCAGTTATATTAAAAAATAAACGACGTAAGATAAAATTACGTTCATTTATACAATTTGAACATTGATCAAAATAAATTTGAATATTTTGAATAATTAAAATAATCGAACATAATCTATTTTCCAAAAAAAAAAACCGACTATTGAACTTTTGTTATCTTTATATTTAAAATTAATATACCGTTGTTTTTGTTTATTTTTAATTGATTGATCTTGAATAAAAATTCTTTCAATAAATAAAGCACGATAACCAGGTTCATTAAGTAATTGATTGGAAAACTAAAATATTATGTATTAAATTAAAATAAAATGATTAAATTATTTTACAAACATATTTTTGAATTAATATTTTATTATCACTTGATAGATAAGTATTAGAAGAAAAATTTATTTGATTTATATTATTCATACCATAATATAAATCACCTAAATCGTATCCTTGTTAACAAAACAACAAAAAGATTGATATTATAATTGTGAGGAATTCACATACTTTCAATATCAATTTCTCTAACAATATTAATTTCTATAAATTAGAGAATTTTTTTTTTTTTTTATTGAATATTAAATGAATGAATACTAACTTCTAAAAGCAATTGTTAAACTAATAATTACAATTGAAAGAGCGAGAATTCCAACAATGATAAATAAACAACCAATCCACCATAATGTTTTCTGTGAGCGTCTTAAACACAAATTTTTTTTTTTGTTGTTAAAGAATTTTAGTAGATGTATTCTTTTTACTTAATGTTTGTAGGTGTAGAAATACCATGCACATTTGTCCAAGTTCTTGGTGAAAATCTTACATGATCAGTAAGTGATTGATCAAGATGGGAATGTAATCGAGAAACTGCTTCGTTCTACACAGAAAAATATATAAAATCATTTATTTTCTTGTCAATTGTACAAGTGATTTACTTACTGACGGTGCCGCCACTTCTATTTGTCGTATAATTTCTATTTGTGTAGTAGTTATTACAATGGTACGTGTTAATTCATCAGCAACAGTATTCATTGATTCTATACGATTTATTCCTCTCATGTATAAAGTTCTTTCTTTTTATTCTATTATTTTTATTACAGCCTAACAAAATGTAAAATGATCGTAGACAATATTTTTACTATTGTTCTCTTTTATAATAGAAGAAAAAAAAATCATGAGGTGTCTGTGTAACGAATTGCCAGTTGTTATCTTTTAACAATAAAATTCTCTCGTCGCTAAATTACAAATAAACAGAAAGCAAAAAAAGTTAAAAAGACTTTATTAATAATAATCATCGAACTCAAAATTGAGCATTTCTTTTTTGTTTTTATAGAAAAGTCATCCAGATTTTTTCCTCTAATGGGACGATTTAAAATTCTGATGGGGCATAAATCTATTTTTGAGAGCATAGATACATAGTATGTGATATAATAATTACAAATTCCAAGAGAACCAAGTCGATCTTTGGAAAGACGCTGCTCTCCAACGGTTTTCGCTATGGATTGATCAGAATATTCAATTGTATTTAGTAAAATGATAGAATTTTTAAAAAATTGATCTTTGAATTCACTTGATTCTAGGCTATTAAATATTTATTCATTAAATTATTATTTATATTTGAAACACTGATTAGATTAACAAAGAATGATTCAAACAAATCTTTGTCATACCACCCAATTAATCTATTGATTCTCGGCGATGTACAAAATACATCTGAATGTAATTATTGTAGAAAGGTTTTACTAGAAATTTTTTTATCATTTTCACAATGGCTAGTTCTAGGAAAAGATGTTTAACTGAGCAATCAAAACAGCCTCGAAGAAAATGTATGATTTGCATATCTCTTGATGTTCGACGTGATACACAACACATGTGTCTCTATGTATTGTTGATTGCTTTAAAGACCACCGTATAGAAACCAAAAATTAATGGTTTTTTTTAAACATAGAATAGCAATTTTTTTCTAAAAAGGCATATTTTAACATTTATAGAAGTTTCGATTTTCCCAAAGAAAAAGCTGGAAGTCAAAGAGTTAAGTTCGATTTTAAGTATGTTAATACAATGACTGTGTAATCTCTAATTGAGTAGTTTTTAATATTGATTATTGATATATATGCATATTGTGTATATTGAGAGTTTTGTAATATTCTTATTTCTGTAAATATTCGAATGAAGCAAAAAAAATACACAATTCTAATTTCTCTGTTAGAAAATACAGAATTTAATTTTCTAGAAATTTCTTTTAGTTTTAATCGAAAACAATAGAACAAAGACATATTGTTTTCAAATTTTAAGGGGAAGTTACCTCATCTTTTTTTTTGACTATTGTTGGTTCTCGAAGACGGTGAAATCGATCCGTATGAAATTTTAATCACTGATATAGCACCTGAAGTAAGAAGACATATGTTCGAGGAAAAACTGATTAAAAAATTTTTCTTTGGAGATACTTTAGACTATATCTCAGGAGTAGTTTTAAGTTTTTTCAAAAATCTTGCTTTCTTTTTTTTTAATGAGAGTTCGGATCCAAAATCAGAGTGCTGGTATTCAAGGCTCTATAAACCAGGATAGGAAGGTCAAAAACGAAAATGGCTGATTTCGCCTCTGAAGAATACTTCCAAATATATATAGTCAAAATTTCAGCTCGATCGGACAAAGTAAGACCAAGATCGTAAGCAAGTTCAATGATTTTTGAAGGCCTCTTCAAAAACCTCTGAAACTTCGCTTTTGTAGGTTTTCCTCGAACATGAGCCTCATCATTTTCGATAATCTACTTGTGATAAAAATGAGAGTCTAATCGACTGTATACTCGCTGAGAACCGAAAGTAGTTCACAAGAGGAATGGATGCCCGTAAGCGTAAATCTCAGGAGACTCGATACTTTTTATTGAACTTCACATCAAATACGTTTTCAATATTAATTGTAAGTGTTTTATTACAATCGATATTTGTTTAATAGAAATCGCCTGTTTGAATATCTATAAAAAAAAGAACTATTGCTTTTTTTTTTTTTACAATAGTTGAACTATTTTGAGTTAGTCCGTTTTTATTAAAAAGACAAAGCAATTCTCTACAGAACTGTAGAAAATGTATTAATAAGTTCATAGTAATCTACATAACTGAAAGATTCTTTCAAGTACTGTCTATCCTTTAAAAAATAAATATTCCTTTTACATAATTAAAAATAATACATGACTAACATTGTTTTTCATTTGTATTCTTTCATTCTACGACGGATAAGTAACGCGGTAATTAAATTATTATTAAATAAAAATCATAGATATAAATTTAGAATTTCTTTTTTTTAAAGAGGTTTTCGTCATCTAGTAACAGCATCACAGATAGGCTGGATGTATCCAAAAACTTTCTGAGCTCTTCCTTCAGAAATTTTGTAAAGATTTTGCAAAGAAACAATTATCTTTCATCGAATAATATCGTCGCATAAACTTTGCTAAGCTACAGAGGCTTTTGTACCAGTCGTTTGTATTGAAAATCATACCAAAGATTCACAAGAAAATACGGGTTTTTGAAATTAGAGATGTTCATCGGACTCTAAAGCACGATTTCGACTTCGAATCCACCTTCGTTGGAGTCGGAGTGATTAAAAAAAATTTTCGAAGGCAACATTGGAGTTATTTCAGTAAGGCAGTCAAGTTTTTACTGTTACATTACATGAAATTACCACAAACGACGTTTAGGAATTTCTCGAAATAGAAGTTACACGGAAAATATCGTCGTACTCGGAGTCGAAAGCATTTTTATTATTCATCTAGTCAACTGCATTTTTACAAGTAACAAATGATTAAAAGTACCATAACAGAGTTTGTTCAGAATAGAACAAGTAGCATTTTTGATGAATTCGAAAAAATCTTCATTATATTTTGGCTTTTAAAAACTTATGACTTGAGATCATCTGTTGGTCAAAATTCCTGGCGTCACTGCTATCATAATTCTTAGACATGAAATCAAAATAAAAAAAAATATAATAGCGAACTCTTATGTATGATACCATCTGTTTTATAACTTATGTCGCTAGAAATAATTCTAAAGATGTCACTTGCCTATTTTGCTTAGGATTGGCTAATCGATTTCACCGATTTAGTTATGAAGAAATACAGAAATATAACGTTTCTTTCTTACACTTTTTATTATATCAACATAAAAGTATGTCGAAAAATTTGGTAACACCAAAGCAAGAACCTATGGGTCCTGATGCGGTTAGTAAATATATATATTCAATTAATTTCTTATAAAATATTATATTGTTTTCTAGGTTCGTAATATGATGTTAGCTGCTCAAAAACAAATCAAAGATCGACAACAAGAACTAAATTTCACTGTATGTATTATAACTTATTTTATACTTATTACTAGGGATGTTACTTTATAACATAAATATACAACATACAATCTTTATATTTATAAAATAAAGAATAGCAGAAAAAAAATTCTTTCTATGATAAGTAAAAATAGACAAATGCGTAGTTTAACAATAGAATATGTTAGTCAATACTTTTTCGTAATACCAGCATCACTTCGATATGTAACATTATTAGAAAACGAAGTTGATAGATAAAAACAATATAGAGGTTTGTTCAGATTTTCGAAAAAGGAAATTACTAAAATTTCTATAAGCTCGACAAATACATAGTAGTGTAATTCGAAAGTTTTTAGAAATATTTGAAATTTCAAAAATTTTCAAAATTCCGATAATTTCAAAAATGACATAATTTTAGGAAGTATTAAACAGTTTCTTCTAACACAAACGCTTGAAATTTGCGAAATTTCTTTTTTTTAAAATCTAAACATTGCTGTCTCATTAAGAAAATTTATTTTATAATTATAAACATTTTTCTCTTTTCAGAACACTTCCCAATAGAGACTTTCTTTTATGTTTTGTCGTTCTGTAAAACAACTGGTTTTTTTGCATGTTCAAAATTTAAAAGATGTGCACATATTCAATCATCCCATGGTGATTTCCGATTTTCTACAAGCATCTATCGATATGTGTAGGCTTTTGCTCATCAGGATCGATGCTAAAAATAGAGTATTTGAAATCAATAGATAAAAAGTTTTGTGTTCTCTGCTTCCACAATTTTTTTGAGATATGTTCAGATTTCCAAAAAAGGATATTACCTAAATTTCCATTAGCTCGATAACTATATAGCAATGCAAGTCAAAAGTTTTTAAACATATTGGAAATTTCAATAAATTTTAGAAATTTCTGTAGGCTCAGAAATTTTGGAAATATTATCATTTTAGGAAGTAATGTACAATTCAAAACACATATTTTTGAAACCTCTGAAACTTCCAAAATTTCCTTTTTCGGAAGTTTGAACATTGCTGATTTTTTCGAGGTTTCTACTGCTATTGTTCAGAAGAACAAAGCTTTGAACCAATCCTAGTAATATTTTGAGATGCATTCGCGAAAACCATATTTTTTAGAGAGAGACTTGGTCTATGACATATTTATTGTTCTACTACCGTGTGTAGTATTTAATCCTGAACAAAATAGTATGATTATTAGATTGAAGAGTAGAAACATTAGATTATATCGAATTAAAAACCATCAATGACATAAATCTGCCAGGAAAATTATTTTTTCCTATTTTCTACTTCAAAAAAATTTTCTCGCATATATTTCTTCTAAAATTCTAAATCATATATCCCCCTCCCCCCCGCACACACAGAATAGAAGCCCACTCTGTCCAAAATGAGCACAAAATAAATAGTTTTAAAAATTGGATAAATTAACTCACTGCTTCTTACTATTTTATTTTATATGTCAGTTTATACGTCTAATTTTCTTTACGTTGCATATTTTTTGGCAACAGACAAATGAATATCTTTGAAATGTTAACAAATTTTTACGCATATATGTTAATAAAACATATATGTCTAAGAACTGTTGAATATAAATTCTGATATGTATAAATTTGATAGAAATAAAAACGTCGAAAGAAAAAATATCGAAAAGATTATTAATGTCCCTTTAGCACACACTAATCATATGCAAATGCAGGACATAGATCCTTCTGCAGATTATTCATGTGGTGTTGATGAATTGGTGTGTTGAAACGGCATTGATAGCACTTTCAATATTTTTTACTTTCGGCGTTTTTTATTTGTACCAAATTTATGCCATTCGAAATTAGACATGCAACAATGTCGTTCTGTTAGATTTCTTCTTCTTACAAGATTATGTATAACTCAGAAACGAAATGTTGAGATTTTTTATTCGGACAGCAACAATATGAGCAAATGTTTTATTGAAGGATGAGACTTTTGAAAAAGCTAACTTATGAACAATGCGAATTACGCGATAACTTATTAGATTTAAAAACAAATGTTAGTGTGAGATGATATAATATGAATTGTTATAACATTTATTAAATTTGAATTATCTATCTCTCAAGGAGTGAAAGACCTTTATTATGCAGTCACAGGCTTATTTTATATTTTTGAGGTGACAATTAAAATATATCTCGTTTCATATCTGAACTGTGCATAAGCTACCATGATGAAGTCGTCTAGCAGAACTATATCGATATATGTCTAATAGAAGTCTTTTTTAAGTTCTTTCAAAACTCGACATGCCCAATATCAACATATGATGTTCAACGCGGTTTTTCGTATCCATAGCAAGATCCACGAAATGCTGAGGATAGATGAGTATATGAATGTAAAATGTCATGTAAATAGCGCACTACTTTGCCGATTTGATAATGCCCATCCGATAAAGAATTGGTAGCCATTTCTTAGTTCCTAAGAAACTATGATAGGTATTGTGAAGGTTGTCAAACAACTTGATAATTTCGATTTGTAAATTTTTACGATCTTTTGTGCCTGTAAGTCAATTAAATGTTAGCTGCAGTATGAAAAAAGTTTATCGCAATAAAACCCCATGTCCAAACTTATAATTTTCAGAGCAAATTAGAAGCCCAATGGGCTTTTATTCTGTGGGAGAGTTTATCAAAACATATAGAATTTTGTGAAGAACTTTATAGCATATTTGAAATTTCAGCGAAGCCTTTATGAAAAATTTTGCACTATCAAAAAACAAACGCAGTAATTGTGTAGAGCAGAAAATGCCCTAAAAAAAAGAAAAAAAAAATTTTCCTTCCCGTTTATTATGCACCATCCGTTATGTTATTAATTTTCACATTTAAGGTACCAACGGCTTCTCCTCAACAACGTTTAGCTGAACTTAAAGGACGCATTGCAAGTCAATTAGGTAAAATTGCCTATACTATTTAAATCAAAAATATTCTTTCTTTCGTTTTTTTTTCTAGGACAACTTCTTCCAGTGCCAGCAGAAGATCGAGATCGACCTGTACATGTAACTATTGATAAAGAAGGTCGTACAATTGATTCTCTTACAGGTGAAGTTCTACAAATACCAAGTCGTACGCCAACATTAAAAGCTAATCTTCGAGTACAAAAAAAAGATGTTATTAAACAAGAACTTCCTAAAACTAAACAAAATAAAGAAGTTGTTATTGAACATCCTGGTCTTGATGCATCAGCACTACATTTTGACGCTCGTATTGGGTAAGGAAAAAAGAGTTTTTTGTTTTTTAAATTGAATTGAATTTATTCGATTTTTGTTTCATTAGGACTCATCCAGCTGTACGTAATCGTCGTCAATTAGTATTTAATAAAAAAGGTAAATATGAAGAAATTGCAAATCGTCAACGTGCAAAAGCTAAATTGGAAAAATTACAACAAGAAATATCTCAAATAGCAAAAAAAACTGGTATTGCAGTAGAAAATAAAGTTACAATAATTCAACCAAAAAAATTTTTCGTATGTTTATTAAATATTTTGTTTTTAATACAGAAAAAAAAATTTTGTTTTTGTTTTGTAGTCCGAACTTGATGTTCCTGATGTTGAATGGTGGGATTATGTTATACTTCAACAGAATAAGTAAGTATTATTTAATCCAATATTTTTTGCTTTACAACGTTTTTTTCTCGATTAGTTATTCATCAATTACTCCAGACGCAAGTATTCCATCTATGTTGACTGGTATTACACAACTTATTGAACATCCAATACAACTTAAAGCACCATGTAAGTCATATAAATTTAGAATTAATATTGTTCATTTTTTATTTTCATAGCTGAACCAAATAAGCCGGTTTTATTACCAATACATTTAACTAGACATGAACAACGTAAATTAAGACGTCAAAATCGAGCTGAAGTACTTAAAGAACAACAAGAAAAGATTCGTCTTGGTTTAATGCCACCACCGGAACCAAAAGGTAATTATATGTCTACAGAAAAATTATTTTATTAATCTAATTATCGAATGAAACGAGATTTGTAAAAAGTTAAAGTCTTGAATTTTAAGATCAAAGAAAAAACATTGATGATTAAACCTAATAGAAATATTTCATTATAAGAAAAATTAAATTTTGCTAGCAATGAAAATTTTCGAATAGATAGCCTCTTGTCTTGGTTTTTTGTGTTGTATAAATGTAAGAGAATCATTATGATTAAGTATTAATAGAATGAAACTAGAGTGGACTCAATCCCTCCTATCAACAGTTGAGTTCCACTTAAAAAGAAGTTTTGAACCCCGCTTAGAAGCGTTATCAGAATGACCAGAGAATTGACAAGGAAACCTCTTCAGATATCAAATCGCTTTTCAATCGAGACAATGTTTATTTGATGAGTAATAGAAATGTCTAGAATGGTTTGGTTTAGCGAGCCTTCATTTTCGAGATGTTGAAATTTTACTAATTTTTTCAATAAACAGCTGTGGCCACGTGAAAAATCGACTTTTGACTTCAAACTTTGCCCGAATAAAGTTCTCAATGACATTAGTTTATTGGGCGGATACAGAGAAGATCACCTTCAACTTTTATAATAAAGACAAATGTCAGACATATGTAAGAAAAGAATAGCTTTACAGACAGAATAAGACAAATTTCTAGTACTATGTATCAGTCTGTCCACATTAATCATCAAAATAGGGAGATATTAGAAACAAAACTAAATCGTTAAAAACTGTTTCATATTTTGAATTTCTATAGGTTTCAATCGAAATTCAAGTTTGACTAAAATAATATTCTGTACAATCACTATTGTGGATCTTTTGAAACAATCCGATAATAGTTGTCGAATCTTATCTCAGAAGGAAATTTTGAACATATATTTGGAAAGAGCGGAAAGGTCTGATTCTAATTAACTGCTTCTGGCACTAATCAGTTATCTCTAAGTCATCGAAAATGAGCAGATCTCTTATGCCGAGACTTTCAGACCATAGGTTAGTTTATATTTCATTAGTGTATTCAATAATAATACTTCAAATTAGTATTTATTTATGTTATATTCATATGAAAAGAAAACATCCAATAGACCTTGATTGCCAAAAAATAAATAAATCAACCAATTTCATGGAATTGAAATGAAGATATTTCAAATCAAACCTTCCTTGATATTAGTCAAGATTCTAATAGAACGGAAATAACTCAGAAGAAAAAGTGTAAATCTATGAATCCTTTTTTTGCATAAAGATTTTAATATTATTCTCAATACTCTTCCTGGAAATAATTTATTTGAAATTTGTGATGTTTCGGCAGGTCGAAGCCTCCTTCGTCAGACTTTTTTATTGATAGAAATGAAAATTAAAACATTTTACACACTTATATCTATTCTATTCTTCTAGTACTTTCTCTCTTTTTGTTCTTCTTTTCTATTGTTGATAGTGGGTCGGCAAGACGGTGATAGCTGGTAGAAGTGACTCTTTATTGTCATCTTCTGCCGACCTACTATCAACAATAGAAAAGAAAAATGAAAATAAGAAAGAAAAAGAAAAAGAGAGATAGTACTAGAAAAATAGAATAGATATAAGTGTGTAAAATGTTCTAATTTTCATTTCCATCAATAAAAAAGTCTGACGAAGGAGGCTTCGACCTGCCGAAACATCACAAATTTCAAATAAATTATTTCCAGGAAGAGTATTGAGAATAAAATTAAAATCATTATGTTCTTCCTTAACAAATCACAATTTTTTGCACAAAGTCTAAAATTTAAAAGTTTTATTTTATAAACGAACAGCTTAATTTTTCTTTTCAATAATAAATTTTCTAATCACATATTTCTTTTTTTTCTTTAGTAAAAGTTTCCAGTATGATGCGTGTCTTATGTTCTGATGCTGTTCAAGATCCAACAAAAGTCGAACAATATGTTCGAAATCAAATGGCACAACGTATTAGGTAAATTTATTTATTTTAATTAAAACAAAAAGAACATTAATTTCTATTTTAATTCTATTTCAGAACTCATGAAGAAACCAATGCTGCAAGAAAATTATCTGCTGAACAACGACGTGAAAAAAAAACTAAACGAACAACAGAAGATACAACAAATGGTGTACATGCTTCTGTTTATCGTGTTCGACTTTTAGATGATCCAGCTAAACGATTTAAAATTGAAACCAATTGTAAACAATTACATATGACCGGTTGTGTTGTTCTTTGTAAAGATATAAACATAATTGTAGTTGAAGGAGGTATAAATTATATAAATAAAGAAAAAATTCATTTTATTTATATTTTGTCCTTTTTGTTTTAGGACCAAAACAACAAAAGAAATTTCGTCGTTTAATGCTTCATCGAATAAAATGGAGTTCATCAAGTAAAAGTCATATGGACGATGGTATGTTAAATATTTTTTTCTTTAAAGTAAATAAAAAAATGTATTTTTCTTTATAGATGGAAGTGAAGAACAAAATAAAGAAAAAAATAAATGTGTACTTCTTTGGCAGGTAAAAAAAAACAGAAAATTTAATTATATTTATTTTTAATAAGTTTTTTAATAATATTCTAGGGTACAGTAAAAGAACGTTCATTTGGTGAAATTAAATTCAAATCATGTCCAACAGAAAATTTTGCACGAGAACATTTTCGTCGTCATGGTGTTGAACATTATTGGGATATTGGACACAATGATTCAGTACTTGATGCATCTACTGATTGAAAAATAAAAATAATTTTTTCTTCTTTTGTCTGTAAATTTATCAATAGATCAGAACGACGATGTTGCGATATTGTCGTATAAGTTATGTTTATGATCTATTTAAATATATATGTTGTTTGATTGAGATAACAACTATTCAATGGTTAGTTTTATTCAATATCGTTCTTTTTTGCTTGTGTATTACAAAACCATAATGATCGATGACAAAAATCAAGAATTTTATTAATATTTGAAAAATAAATATTTTTCTATAAGCATAGATGCATCAGTTTTCTAAGAATTTGAAATATTTCACTACTTAAGCGTAAGAGAGAGAATGAGTAGTAGAACGTCACTTCATCGATAATGCACAAACAACATCGCGTGAACTTTTCAAACATTATATTCTTTCAAAGGTAATTCCTATGTACCTGCGAATTCACATCAAGGAAACTTATTTTATTGATACCCTATGTCGTCAAGTTTTCATCGAAACCAGCCGGTTCAAACAGTTTATTCCTTTTTCTTATGAGGTTTTTAATAATTTTTCTATTTAAATTATATTTTCTGTCTTGAAGAGGCCGACCGCTCGCTACTCAAACTAGATGGTATCTGAGTTCAGCTCAGAGTGCGAAACATTTTGAATTTTCGTTTTGGGTTTTCGACATTGCACAGGTGACAAAAATTCTTAGTACCTATTGAATTGATGAAAATCTACTACTATTACTGAAAGTTGTTATTGAATTTACATTTAATCTTGCCCTGGTTATTATAGAAAAATATAGTCTTTAATTCAATCTGTTAACATTACGAAATCGATAGTAAACTGTGCCATATTTTACCGAGCGTTTAGTTTAAATACGATAAATATCAATATTTTACATTTTGTGCACATAAACGTTGCGTATTTTGTTCTATTTTCTCTAGATGGAACTCAATGAGATCTATCGAATAATCTCATATTTAACGGTGTTTATCAGCAGAGTAGGTTTCTCTCTTAGCAATGACTAGTAGAATAGGGGTATTTTTTTCATGTTATGCCTAAATATTCATTGTATGAGCTGTTCTAACTAAGGAAACAACTGTGTCAGACAGAATTCGATGAGATCTTTCATTCGAAGTCCAATACAATCCCAACCTTAGCCAGGATGAACCTCGACGTAACGGTTCTTCAACATCATCAGAATTTTTTTAATGTTTTGAATGGTAATTAATGTCCTGGTTTGGATAATGATTTTCATTAACTATCTAAATGAGTGTGTGTTTGACGCAGAGTTGGATTGCTTTTTGAGTGGTAGAACTTTTGACCCGACGACGGAGCGAAAATGCGACGTGACCTTAAAAATACTGGGTTTTGAATCGCCTTTTAATGGTAATTCATGTGAAAAAAAACAGCAGACAGCAATGGAAGCCTCAGCAAACCAAACCTTTAATTGATAGAATCAGCAACCAACTAAATAGGGGACTTGGCTGAAGCAGTGCAGATCAATGCTGGTAATTTGGTAGAAGAATTGCCGAACTCCAATAGAAAATTCACGAGTCCGTCGCAGAGATAACATTGAGTTTTGAAAATCATATAGCAGACAAAAACAGTAGTTTTGCGGAACAAGTTAGAAGCCTTAGGAAGAAACGATGGAAGTCCTTTCTAGAGCATTCAATGCCAAAAAGAAATACTTATTGACATTGCTATAGAGATCACACTCTAGCATTTTGAATAGATCATTGAGAATTTATTTGTGGATTAGCTTTAGTGGTTACTCGGTAGAATTCATATGATTTTATACATTGTTCAAATAGAAAGGATGAATGGATGTGGGTCAGAGTGCGAGTGAAGAGTATACACATACCTTACATGAATCGCAGTTAAAAACATGAAATGTTGATACTGTTGAAAAATCGTTATGTAGAAGTTCAACCCGGCTGATGATAGAATTGAATTTGACATCGGAGGAACTAATTTTTCCACTAAAAACAGTATTTAAAATTAGTTTTTTAAGTTTCTTGCCATTTTTCAAAATAAAAAATTGTTGAAAGCTATTCATTCTACAGTATATTCGTTGCTCTATCTAGTACAAACAAGATCTTTTATGGTATAAGTCTTTAGCTGAATATTTCGTCAAAAAACTCGAATCCACTACTAACTATACGTACACGAACAGTTCGAATTTTTTTTGAATCGAACCGAAGAGAACCGACCTAGGTTTGAAAAAAGTTCGAACCGAACCACTCGCATATCTGATTTGAAATCAATAGAATTTATATTATTTCTTATGTCACTGATTATGGCAATACTAGGGCAGTCAACAAGTTCTGTCACTTTCAAATATCTATTCAGAGAAAAAACATTTTGCTAATCTTTTTACAATAAATGTTCGAAGTAGTTCCTACGATATTCCATACAAAGTTTTATCCTTTCAATCCGCTTCTGCAATATTCTTAGGTATTTTTGAATAGGTTTTGAATTGAGCTCCTTGGTTACTGCTTTGCCTGAATTTGTAGCATATGAATATTATTAAGGCTATGTTTCAGACAACTGAACAACCAAAAGTTTGAAGGAGCAACGTTAGGTGAGTATGATGGAAGAGTCATAACCTTCATTCTTTTCTCTTGAAGATAATTAAGATTGAGAACAATATTTTGAATATGCGATTTTACATTTTTATAATGCAAATTTATGCTACTTGTTTTTGATGATGTTTTTTTCTTACGTAAATTTTTGGCTAATATCTTCAAATATTCATCACGATAGTTTATATGATAACTATGTCTAAGATATTAGTAACGTAATCAATACTAGTATGTAGATCATCACTCACTAGGTTCTTGGCATTTGCAATATTTTGTTGAGTAATGACGTTTATTGGACCATCATTTCAAGGATCATCTTCCAATGACTCGCATCCACTTGAAAATCGATGAACCCAATTAGCAACTGTACAATATGAAACAACACCTTGTCTATAAGTAGTAGCTAATTCATCATGTATTTGTGTAGCGGCTAAACCTAATAACAAACGAGTTTTTATATATGAGCGTAAACGCAGTTTATCCATCTGAAAATGGAAATGTTCAAAAAATTCGTTGAAAATTTGTCATAATAGACATTTATGAAACTTTGTATTGGTATTTTAATACATAACAGATGTCGCTACTACAATAGGCCAATATGAGGCATAAAATCAATTGGGATTAAATTTTAGACAGCTGTTGCTAGAATTATTTATCTACCCTTAGTAGATTGGTTCCACGTCAAAAACCACAAAAGACTTATGTGTAAAACAGTACCGAGGTCTCACCATCCGTATCATAACAATACTTATGCATCTATTAATACACAAATTACCGGACAAGCTTTTTTACCTATCTATCAAAATTTAAACATTCATTGAGAGGATACAATTATTAAAAATCGACAATGTTTTCTTTATATGTAATTCTTTTTCATTCAAAAACTGTACAACTATTGCAATTAATTCAATTGAACAAGCGGTATAAAACTTTCTCGAATATATATTTCTCGTTATAAACTTTTTTTTGGCATTTTTTCATCTCATTTATTCAATAATCGACCTTAATCACGTTTAATTTTGTTATAAAAACTCCTTCCAAGTCACTTTCATAAATGTTTTTTTACGATTTATCTGGGTTGGTAGATCCTAATAAATGAAATGAAGATGATAGTAGATATCTGATGTCTGATCTTGTGGTTAAATTAAATATAGATGGTAGGATGTTTCTAATTTGCTAGTCATTTTTGGAATAGTGGAATTTGAGAGTACTTAATTATGATTAAATTAATTCAAATTTCTGTGAGCTCTTTTAACTGAGAGAAATTTAAAAATTTTGGCGATTTGAAATTTGAAAAATTTTGATATACAGATTTCAAAATTAGTACTGATTTGAGATTTGCCATTTTATGATAAATTCGCGTATATTCGCCGTATTTCTATGTAAAGTATTTATTAAGAATATTGAAGTACATAAAATAATGAGTGTAACGGAAAACTGATAATATGGTGAGGATACGATGTAGAAAGATGGGTGACCGCGTGGTTGGATCATGTCTTTTATGGCTTTGCTTTGTTTATCGTTTCTTCAACCTCAATTCCGTTACTTGTTGTACGTGATTTTATTTCTCTCTTGATATTATTCGAATATTTCAAATAATTTGATGTAGTCGTTCGATATTGATCAATGGACGAAAGTAAACATTGTACATGACAATGGTTTATCTGGAGATGATGGAGTTGTAGTCGTGGTAGTACCTAAATAAATATGATAAGTTGCACTTGAATTAAAAATCTCTTGTACTATACAGTGTCCTCGCAGCATGTTGAAAAACCAATTTTAGTCCGATTTTTCAATTTTTATATAGAAAGTCCTAACCATTTTCAAGACGAAATACAGACTAGATTCAGAAGTCGGAAATATACAGTTCCAATATATTGATTTAGTAGCTCAAATGAACGGCGATATGTCCTACAGTATGGAACTCATTTCTAAATAGTAAATGTTCAGCTTGAACTCCGCTGTTAGCAGCTTACAGTTACTCAGGAATAAGCTTCCAGGTAAGCAACAGAAAAGACATATTCTTTGTTTGAATATTTTATTGTCGAACTTATTGGCACTTATCTATCACTCTTGATTGAATCTATTGTAATTTGAATGCATTTTTCTTCTAACACAACTACTTTAGAAAGTTGCATGGGATATGTAGTCGCCGGATTTCATTCAAGAGAAAATGAGTAGAAACGCGTCCTCTCGATAACTTTGCTTCTCTTATTAAGTAATTCATTCTTTTGCATTTTCTTTCTTTGTCATCCGTAAGAATAGTGAGCTTCCAATAGCATATGAATATATAATATTCAAATTCTCATGAAAGAAAAAAGATCATCGAAAGCACTTTTCTAGAATACTTCAATAGCCTTGAAGTTTATAAAAAAAAAAGCGTTCAAAGCTTTCTAGCAGAACACAGGATTCATGAGTCACAGCTGAGCAACGATTTTGTGGTACTATAGGCT